TGAATTCTCTGGAGATACTGGAAAAATCCTTATAATTAAATACATTTGACATGCAAGATCACAACTGTTCTTTCATAATGTCTTTTTTTTTTTTTTAAGGCTTCTCTCCCATGTAGTTTTACTGTAAAATAGCAGGGATTAAATCCTGACTCTGCTGAAGCTTATGTGAGTTTTTCCAGTTTGCTTCACTGGGGCCATGTTATCCTCCTCTGTCTCAACCCTTAACGCTACGGGAGCACTACAGAGAACACCCTGGTAGGAACCAACAGTGGCACAGGGGTCAGTTTGTCACTGCCCATCACACACGTGTTCGACAAGAAATCAAAATACATCAAAAAGATCTGCAAAAGGAATGGAAATGCACAAAAACTGTGCCTGTCTTCAGAAAAAAAATGAAGTTTTGTAGAGTTCATCAGGCTTGAGGAGCGACGTGCACAGCCTGGCAGCAGGAATGCCAGGGCAGGGTGTGAAACACCCCAAAGCCACGAGCTATTTGGGACCCCACAGGGAAGGTTTGAGAGATGCAGCAGTGCTGAGAAGCGCTTGGGAGTGGAAATGTTAAACAGAGTTGTGTTTACAGAAGGCCTCATCCTCGTATTAACATCTGTTTGGATGACCTGTTCATCTTCGGAAAAAAATTAGTAAAGCTTCCCCCAGACAGCAAACTAATAAAGAGCAAAATGTTAGTTACTCCGTCTGATGTGGAGTTTTAAGAAAAACTGCTACGGGCAGGTGTTAACCTTGAAGCTCTCTCTTAAAAAAAGATACTTTAAAGACATCACAGACGTCCCAAAGTGGGGATTTTGTGAAGGAAAAATGAATTTACAGCAATGAAGAAAAAAAAGTCATCTGTATGCATGAAGTGCTTGGTCTCTTTTCCATAACGAATTGATTAGGGGCATGTATTTGGGACTCAACCTAGTTATCTAGGAAGATCCAGGCAATGGCTGCCAGCCACCAGGCAAACAACCAAGAGGGACCGGGCCCCGGTCCTCTGCCTGTGCTCTAGGGATCTGCAACATCTTGCTCTCATTCCTGAAGTGAAAGCAGCTCGGTTACATGCTGCATTCACGATCCAGGCTTTAATGCAGAAATGGCTTTATGGATGCTCCTAGCTACTCAACTGCTTCCACAGTTTGGGGAAAACACGTGGATTCCTTGTTATTTTACATACACTACAGTGCCACAGATGAATTGCGTCATCTACCAGTGCCACTTCACCACTGCCATACTCTACCTCACCTATAGTTTTTATTGATTACCCATATTATTTCATATATCAGGACTTAACATTCAGCAGCCTGGCAGGGCTCTGTGCCCCTCCAGGCTGTCCTTTCACAGAAGATCCTGCTCATAGTGCTGCTCCATCACCCTTAATGGCATCGATACTGCCTTTTTTTTTTTGCTTACAAAACCCTAAAACCAGGCTGTGGTTGCTGGTAGCTCCCTGGCTTCCAGACCAGCCTCTCGAAGCCATGAACTCTGCGCTAGCGTCAGGCTTACACATACACCCCCACTGTGTTTACCAAGGTAAAGTAAACTGCACGCATTCTTTATTTACCAGAAAAATATCCCCATTTCGGTGGCACGGACCCAAAGTAGGATCTTTGAAACCACTTCCTGCTGCTGCTGGAAAGAGGCAGAGCCAGGATGTCTCCAGCCACATCGGTCTTGGCTGAACTTGTAGCTGCTGTGTGGGACTTGGAGCATCCTCAGGACTTTGAGGCACCTTGTTGGAGGGAACCTGGGCAGGGCTCCGCAGAGCCAGCAGTAAAGGAAGGAGATACATGGGCATCCACAAAGATTCACTGAATGGAATTATTTCCGTAAGAAATGTATGAACGACACCTGGGCTATCTGGCTTGTACAGGAATATGATAACTGCCAATTATGATACGGATTTCACAGCATCTCTGTCCCAGCACAACTCAAAAGCCACACCGAGTTACTACCAGGGAGCTTCGGTTCTGTTAATCACTTTGCAGAGGGTTTGGAGGGCGTTAGACTTCTTTCCTGTTTATCCCCCTTTTCTCTCCTGTGCATTTTAGTGGGTGGGGAATAAAGAAACACACAGCACGTCAAAAGTGCAAATGCCCCAGGAGGGAGCTGCTTCTGTTCCTCTGCCCCAACAGCCACCTGCCAGGTGGACTAGAGATTGAGTCCTGGAAATGCACCATCCTTGGTGTGCAGATCTCCCAGCTCAAATGAGAAGGCAGGTGGGAGATGTTTTAAGGAGCACCGTGCTTTAAGCTGATACACTCAGAAGCACCAGCAATGGTGGCAGATCATCAGCCACATGAGTCAGGCATCTCCAGGGAATCCAAGAGGGAGAAATACCCTTTGGCTATTTCTGTCGCATATTTAAGCATGGCTAATGATACTTGGAAGACAGAGAGTATTTTTATATGTAAGTATCAAGACAAGCTGGACAAATACCATTATCCATAATTTAAAAACAAAAGCTGGAGCCCCAGCTTAGCCAAATGTTTATTATACATTGTTATTGAAAATGTGTAAGCCCCATTGAACCTAATAAAACTGAAATATATGCCCACATTATTTGTTCAGTGGGGATCATCTCAGGGATGTAAAGTACTTCCAGCGTTCACGGAACTGAGCTAAAGTCACTGTTCCTGCTCTCTCTCCAGTTCTCATTACTTACTCATTAGGCAACTTCTTCACTTTTTCCTCCATCCTGTTAATGGCTCTCAGCTACAGCTGTAAACAAGATTCCCCTCCCATATGAGGGTACATCATGCTCAATGTGGGCAACATAAACAGAACCAGTTGTGTAAAACAAATAGGGATTTTGCTAGTACTTTTTCCATATCTAAGAAAACCTACACTTTTTTTTTAATACTCAAAAAGTAGAAAAATCGAGCATATGTGGCCAAAAGTAATTATATGCCTTCTAAGTTTATTAAAAGTTGGTGTTGTTGCTCGTGAACATACTGAATGAATTTTACTAGTTTCCCATAGCAGAGCCTGGGCTGGCATTGCTTTAGAGAGTTTACTGCAGAAATGTCAAGCATGCACTCATCCCCCCGACTGCAATTTAAATCAGACAAACTAGACTAGACATCTAATAACAAGCTTTGTTCACTCGAGAATGGCAGCTATGGAAATATGCCTAGTTTTATGTGTTATTACATGCACAATCCGAGAAGGACACTGAAAAAAGCAACAAGCGCTGTTCTTCCTTTGTTTGTTTGTGTTTTTCTGTTCCGTTTTATTTTTAAATGACCAGTTTCATGCTACTTATTTGACCAAGAAAGCAAACAAACAAAACACAACACATCAGACTCTCAGTAAAAATGTCTTCATAATTCAGTTTTTCCTCTCATAAACTGCAGTTTGCACAACTAGACTTCTCCTACTAATAGAAGCTGGGGACATGTATGGAAACTGGAGTTACCAACATTTGAAAGTAAATTACAGCTAATTGTTTTGGATTAATTTATGAAGGCAATATGACATGGTCTATATGCAGTCCCAGTGCCAAAATAAAGACCAAGCACAAGTTATAGTTTGTTTCCTATGTAAAAAGTAATATTTAAACGTCTATTTTTTTTTTCCAGCTATGTTTAAAAGATGGTCTGAAGACATAGGAACACTTTGTAAGGCCTGCTGCTGCTCTTTCTTCAGGGTGGTTTGCTATTCCCTCTTTTGGAAACCAAAAGCCCCTTTTCTGACATCTGACAGCCTGACACTTTCCACAGAGAAGATGGGGGAGAGGCACACACCCCTCATCTGGGACCCTCTGCTCCTTGGGAAATCAGCTCGCAGTAGTCCTGGCATGGCTGGAGATGCCTCCAAAACTGAGTCCTCAAAATGAGCGATACAGCGCCTTCCATAACTATATACATTCGTCTGTTTGTACTCCTGAATTCCTATGCCTAATTTCTAAATATTTACCCTAGCAAACATTATCCAGCCTGTGGAGTCCAGCTGCGAGCGGCACCGTGCCTCCCTCCGAGTAGCTGGGCCGAAGGCTTTTCCAAAGGCCCCTGGGTGTCCAAAGCGCTAGGCCTGCCCTCCTCCAGAAGAGCTCCTTATCGTAGTAATGCGAACAAAGGTCACAGCAACGAAAGGAATAAACGTGCAAACAAAGCCATTAGCAGTTTCCAAAATAAACTCCTACTCTCGGTGGCCAGGACTGCAGCGTGCCACATCGGCGCTGCGCAGAAATGCCTGCTCACATGTCAGCCGAGCAGCTGCACAGAGCTGCGAGCCAAAGGAGCACTCATCTCACCGCAGAAATGCCACCTTAATTAATTATTTTGATACCAGTAAGCTTAAAAGCATTAAAGATAAGCACAGGGAGATCAAGAGAAGGGTTTTCACCTGTCAGCCCACTTCTTTATTGCTCTCTCTAATTAATACCCACATCACACAGGTGTCGCTGAGAGAAAAGCTCTCCTGGAGGAACATATTTCTGAAAGGATGTGCACGCAAATTACCAGGGAACCATCTGTGCCACAAAAATTTCAGCAGAGGTGCAGCAGCCAGAAAGAAATCATCAGCGGTGAAAGCAAACATTCTGATTTAAGATAGGGCAAAAACGTTTGAGTCAGCTCTAACAAAGATTTTCCCCAATTGTTGTTTTCCTTACAGAGCTGGTGGGGACACCTCACCCCTCTTGTGCTTGCCCAGGACAGGCCACTCTCCCCTGGCCTCCCAGCCCAACTCCTGCCCACTTGTAGTCCTCGTGGTTGTCCCCTTTTTTTGCCTTCTCTCCCCTTAGCACAGGGAGTTTGTTTTCCTGCTGCTATGGTTTTCCCTCTCCTTCAGACAGCAGCAGACATCTCCCGCCTGGCTCGGGCTCCATACTGCTCTGATTCACCCAAGTGAGACCTGAATCAGGTCCTCAAAACACAAACCCTTTCAAACACAGGCTTGTCCTCATGCTAGAAATCTCCCAAACACCTTGTATCATCAAACCAAAGATGTGTTAGCACACTGCCCTGACTCTTTCTCAAGTTTCTCTCTTAATCTCTTACCTTCACGTTACAGCCTGGGGAGCAGGAAGCATGTCTCCTTCTAGCTGGAAATGGCCCTAATGCATTCTGGCAGTACCAGAAACAAATTAACAAATCCCTGTAAAGCCTAACCTGAAACAAGCATTCAAACAGCTGAGAAGGAATTAAATAATTTATAGTGAATGCTATCAGTGGGGCAAGCAAATTTATTGGGGGTGCGGGTTGGATTTCACTGACACGTTAAGTGTCTGATGAGAATTAACACCCTGCTAATTAGCCTTGAAAAGTAATTCCCATATGCCACCACCTGTATTTACTCACAAAAGGGGAGCAGAGTAGCTGGCAGCTGCTGTGGTCATTAGTCCAGGAGCAGGAGATAATTTCTGTTTTATCCTCATCGTTACCTAGATGCACGGACCATCCTAGGGCAGCTGTCTGCTCTTCCTCACTCTCCTTGCTCCCCAGCCTCCACATATCAGATACCACACTCTTCAGGCTCCACAGGTGACTGTCTCCAAGTATTCTCTCCCCTTCATCCACCCAACAGGAAAGGTAGCCAGGTTATCCATCTGGCCTGAGCACCTGCCCTCCTGGGGCATGGTGTGACCTCCAAGGCCCCAGGAGGAGCTTTTCCACTGCTGGACTTAGTTCTGCAAACTGACTGCCTCTCCTGGAGCTGAACATGTCCAGTCCTCTTCAAAAATATTCCTCTGGCTCTTCTCAGCTCATGCCTTTTACCTCCTGGAGCACTTCCAATGCATCTCTTATTTTTATGCCTCTAAATCTTGATCTCTCCATTTGGAGCTTCCTCTCGGCCTACCCTCACCCTCACACTGAGTTCAGACATTTCCCCTGGGATAAGCAAAGCAAACACCCGTTGTTGTCCCCAAACATGATTCCTGGCTGACCTCCCTGGCCCACGAGGCCTTGGTCTGTCCCTGGGACCCCTCTCCATGCCCCAGGCCCCCTCCTGCCCCTTGCCAGATGGGTGCTCAGGTGGCACCTCCAGCCCGTCCTCTGTCCTGCCCTCTTCACCCTCACAGCTCCCCATGCTCTCCAAGAAGCTATGGTTTAACTCAGTAAAACAGTCTGATCTGGCTAAGGTCAAAAGTATTACAAAAAAATCCTTGAAAGATGTGAAATATAAATGACTAATACAACCAAGCAGAGAGTGTGCAACAAACCTGCAGGCTCTGGTCAGGGGCCCGTGGAGAGCTGTAACACCTGAGAGGTGAAAATGTGCAAAGATCCATGCCAGGAAGCAAAACTGGAGAGAGTAATCCACGAACATTCAAAGTTCAGTTTATTTCAGGGAGAGGTGAGGAGAATAAATGAAAACCATTGTTGGAGCCTTGCATGAAACGGTTTGCAGATTTTATTTATTTAACTTTAGTGGGTCCTTGGACTGCTTTTTCCACAAGGCATGTGTCTTTTCATTAAAAAGGTGGCAAGGCACAGCTTTAAAGAATATTCTTCAATACTCAAGTAATTTTACCTGCATAGCAAGGAGCAGTCAGGCTTTCTTCAAGCCTGCAGAAAGAAACAAAGAACGAGCTCACACCTGTGTCCCATGCCAAAGTAAGTAAATAAATGCGCCGTGAGTTATGGGACATTCATCCTCTCAGCTGCGTTTGCTTGTTTGCTTGCCTAGCTCTTTTTCTTCATGGCAATGGGCCATTTAAAAAACCCTTTATCTGCCACTGTTTACATTAAGATTTCTGTTTTACAAAGAATGTCACCGAGAGTACAAACCAACCTCTTCAAGCCCAGCTGCCCGATGCTGGGTTTCTCTGTGCATACCCTCGCTCCTAGGCAGTGATCCGATTTCTCGGAGTACAGAACCCCATCGGAGCGTTTTTTCTCAGGTGTTGTCATTACCTTTTCTCCACTGTGAGTGCCCCAGGCCAGCCACCCACTTTTTGGTGTGTTCAAAGGCTGCCCAAGCTGCTCGAAGCCACCCAGGGGATTTCTGGCTGTATCGATCCCACTGGCTCTGCTATGCCAGGAATCCCGCGGTCGCGTTGCTGCCTGATAACCAGGAACACAACCAGATGAAACGAGATGAGGAGTGACTCAGGGGACGGGGAAAGAGGCAGAAAATACCAGAAAATAACCTCACCAGCATCCTACGCTAGCTTAGCTGACTAAAAGCCCTTTCTGTCCGCATTCTTCACCCAGCATCAACTGACAGGCCCAATAACGTTGTCATGTGCCAGCCTGCACAAGCCCAGCTTTGCTCATCTCCCCTCATTCATCCTTTTTGCCGCTGAATCGCCCCGTTGTTGTTTCAGGTACCCTTGCAAGCCCTGGTACAAACCCATTCCTCCTCCTCAGAGCCCCCATTGTCCCCGTGGCTGTTTACTGCCGCCCCCCTCGCGCCGCGCAGCACCAGGCCGTCTGGTGACTGGCAGCACTCAGCGTGGTGGAGACGCTGCCCTCCTCAGCAGGGCCCTGAAACAAACAGCCCGTCAGTGTCTCTTTGTGACCAAGCTTCTCGAAGGAGAACGGGCCGGATAAATGTGCTTGCTGCAGCAGGGGCTTCTCTCTGCTTCCCGTTCCCTCGCAGTGTTGTAGGCCCGGAGAGGAAAGAGCGCGGCCTCAGCTGACTGCGGCCTGCAGGATCGCGCAGTGACGCCACGGCGCCGTATAAGCGACCGACAGCCCCGGCACAGCTCTGTGCTCTGTTTGCAATATATGTTCTCATGCCACGTTGTGTAACTCAGTGATCCCCGGCCAAAACCCTAATTCAAAACAACTAGTGGGTGGGAGGTTTTCAAAGCGCAAGAGCCTCATGGAAAGAGCTGTCAAGCACTCAGCACTGGCCTCACTCCTTTGTGAACCAGGGTTTCACCAGCAGCTTCTGTGACAAGGGACCAAACCAGGACCAAGCTCTTAGCAAAGGGCAGACCAATTTGCCAGCTTGATAGAAAGCCTCTGTGTGGCACTTACTGTCCTCTGGTCAGAGGAGGAGGCGAAGGAGCACGGAGAGTCATTGTTCGTGCAGATATCAAGGAGCAGAAGAAAGTAAGAGTGGATTAATAGAGCTTGGATGAATAAAGCTTGGATGAATAAAGCTACTGTGCTTTTATTTTTAGTTGCATGAGACAACCTTACACAGTCATATCCCTGAAGCGCACACAAACAAAACTTACCCCAGCAGAGCAGGAGAAATACAGTGCTGGGCAGAAAAGGAGGGAACCAAGAGATGAAAACGTGAAAGAACTGGGTCACTCCATCCGTAAGACAAAGCCTTACCTTAAATTAACTGCATTCAGACTGTTCGTAGTGTTGAGCGATGACAGTTTGCAATTGTTTTACTCCTAATGGGTGGCAGAACTGGATGGGTGCTCTGAGCCACCCGCTTCCTGCGGGACCGACAGTGAGGCTGGCTGCCCTCACAGCTCCGACCAGCTTTCTGGTGGCTTTCTCGGCAGCGTGGTTCGTCTGAGTCACCAAGTTTACCAACAAGTGATGAATCCAGCCTTCATTCATTTACTTAGTTCCCTTTTTAAATCGTTTCTATTCCTGTCCTTCTCAACATCCTGTGGCAATGAGTCCCACAGTTGATTTTGTGGGGGGCAGAAATTCTTCTACTTATGTTACCTGCTGCTTGGTCTTGTCACTACCTGTGCCCAGTTTGGTTTATCGTAAGAAGAAATCAACTCTGCTTTTGTGGCTGTTGTGCAGACTGGATCAGGTTTCCCTCCCTTGCCAGATCAGTGTGAGAATTGTTCAGCAAGCAGCCTTGGGGACAGTGTATTTCCTCAAAGCGTAGGCAGCAAGGAAGGAGGAAAAAAAGAGACATGAGGCCTAACGTGATGGGAAGAGCAAGGCTGGGGGAATCGAAAAGGTGTGAGGCATGGCTTGGGGTTGAGTGATTGATGTGAGGTCTTACAGCAAAGACCAGAACGCGATGAGTTTCATTTTCATAAAAAACACTGCCGTCATTATGTGGTGGCCAGGAGGCTGCACGGCACTAAATATTGCTGATGTTTAAGAGCCTCTTTTTAAGAGCTCACATCTTAAAATATCATGTGTGGGCACCAGCAGAGCAGTTATTTGTGGTGAGTGGTTACCAACGGACAGAGAGCCCGGCTGCCATAAACATCGCAACTTTATTTTCTGCCTTTGTACTGCCATTCCCCAAACGTGCCAAATAAAACACATTCTTCCAAACAGACCCGCTATTATTTTACGGCCTCGCCATGCTGGGTTAGAAATTGCAGTGTCATGAAAACATCCCTTAAATAAATAATAAAACCCAATATTGCTAGGACAGGGTCTTTCATCTGGAAGGAGCCTGCACAGCCTCACAAAATCTCTCTGCCCCCACTGTTCCAGCCAGCGCCTCGCATACCACTGGGACAGGTAAAGGCGCTCAGCCATGCTGCTCGGTATTGAAAGCCAGCAAACGTGGAGTAAATCCTGCACTGGAGATGCTAGCAGAAAAAGAAATCCAATTATCCCTGCTGGGAAGTTGGCCAAGAGGCTGGGACAAACATCCCTCTGTGGGAACTGCGGTGGGCTGCAAGGGAGCAGGGTCCTACTGTGACTTTGCCTCACGGTGGTTGCCCCAGGCTCTTGATGGTTCCTAGGAAACTGTTTGACATTGGGGTTATTGTTATGAATGCCCAGGTCCCAGGGGGGAGTGAGTGGCCTTCCACCCAGCCACCAGCTACGTGGTACCCGGCATTGTCTGAGCCTTGGTGCTCCACGTGGTCTGAACATGACAAAAAGCACAAATTAATCAGTCTCTGGGAATGGAGCTACAAATTCCACCTGATTCCCATGCTGTTTGCCCATCTGCGAAAAAAAAAAAGAAAAAAAGAGCTTTTCCTGAAAACACACCAGCAGCCCATGAAAATACACAATACGCCTCCTGCATTGTTATTTGCATACCTCTGTGGGTGTGTTTTGTACACACAGGTGAAATTACATATTCCTGCCTGATTGATTTTACAATCTAAGTTGCAACAAAGCAAAGTGACTTTTGCAGCAAATCTAAATTGCAGCAAAGCAAACGAAGGGTGGAAAAAATAACATGAATCTCAAGGCATACAGAGTAGTGTCTGCTCATGACAAAAATACACGTGCTACAAGTTCCAGAGTGAAAGGCAGGAGGGAGAGGAAAATCAGAATCTTTCCACAAAGAAAGCATGATAAGAGATTTACGAAGCTTT